GCGGCGGCAGGCGTCGTGCGCCTCGGCGCGCCCGGGGCCGGCGCCGCAGCCCGCGCACGGGCGGCCTGCAGGAGGCAGGCAACGAGGCCTCGGCCTGCCCTCCCTCGCGGCGCGGCGTGCGCGGCAGCCCCACGGGGCGCAGGCGCGGTGGAGGCCGTGGGGCGGAGCCGACGGGTGGGGGTGGGGCGGGTGCTCACGTCGGGCGTGTCCCTCTGCAGGGGGGCATGCCCGACCTGAGGCTGGGCCAGAGCGGATGCGGGCCCGAGCCAAGGGTGCATGCGGGCGGAGTGCTCTCTGGTTTTTGTCTTGGGGGTGTCTCTCTCTGTCTCTGTCTCTCTCTCTCTCTCGTGCTCTCTCGCTCGCCCTTCTTTTTTGTTGTTCTCTCTCTCTCTCTCTCTCCCCACCCCCTTTCGTATTTGTTTCTCGTGTGTTCGCTCTCTCTCTCTCTCGTTATCTCGCTCTTTGTCTCTTTCTTGTGTGTGTTGTTGTTGATGTGGTTGTGGTTGTTGCTGCTGCTGTTGTTGTTTTGTTTGTTTTCTCTTTCTCGGTATATGCATATATATATGTATATATTGAACAACTTCATCATACCTCCACATATATGTATTATTTCTTCGTGATTCTACAACTACAAATGTAGGTAACTACATATGCCTGCACACATGTATACACATACATATGTGTGTATACATACATATATACGTATATATATGTATATGCATCGATCACCTCGTAAGTCTGTTACGCCGCGCGCCCACTGAGCTCTTTATCTTTCAGCTTGTTGTGTGCCAACAGGCCTGACAATAACCGCCGCCGACCGCGTGATCCTGGTGGACCCGGCGTGGAACCCGTCGACGGACGCGCAGGCCATAGACAGAGGTGTTTTTTGGGACAGCGGAAATAAATCAGGAGCTGCTTGCTAGTGAGAGACAGAGGTGTCCGTCCAGAAATGGCTCCAGGGGGGCAATCGTTTTTGACGATCTGGTGGGCAACAGAGCGTGGTCCCCTCCAATGCTCGCTCGGCGTATGTAGTTGCACATGGGCTGATTTCAGTACACGGTGGTTACTGGAGGGGATGGGTCTGTGTGCGTGGGTTGGCTGCGGGGCGACGTTGGGGGCGGGGCGGTGAACCCGGCGTGGAAACTGTCGACAACCGCGCAGGCCGCAGACACAGGCTGTTGTCTTTGGCATCGGAATCAGAGCCCGTGGCATGCCCATGTCAGCAGGATCATTTTTTCGAGGATCAAATACGGCATAAACATTAATGTTCGAAATTCCGCGCGGATGTCTTGGGGATCGGCGCTGGAACCCCCTGGCGGCGACTCTGGCGCCGCCCGTGGCGCGCTCCGCGCGCAAGGGGAGGGGAGCCAGCAGCGATCCGTGAAAAATCCTTTCCGACCTTCGAAAGTTTATGATTACGTAGCGTCTCGTTCCTTCAAGTCTGCGGGTCAAATCGACAATGTAGAGAGTCTTTCGTAGACAGTTTCTCTCCAAGGACGGTGATTGCGAAAACGGCGTTAGATCCCAAGCACGAAGAACAGCCCATGCTTTTTATTTCCGTGGAGCCCAAGCGTCTCACAATGCCACATTATGTCCTCATCATGTGTCTTGAGGCTCTCTCGCTCTATCTCTCTCTCTCTCTCTCCCTGTGTCTGTTCTGCTCACTGACCCTGGAGGCGGCCTGTTCCCCCCAACCCTCAGACAACTCGACCCCGAAACATCCGCTGTGTCGGGCGGCGTGAGATAAAAAGAGGGTTTTTTTGGCTGGCGTCCGCTCCATCGACGCCATCATCCCCAGTGCAAACTTCATCGTTGCAACTCGCGGATGCAGGTGGTGTGCGTTGCTCGCGGGTCTTAAAACGTCATGAACATGATTTCTGGGACTCCGCGCGGATTTCTTGAATCGGCGTTGGGCACCCCTTGTAGCGCCTCCGGCGCCGCCCCTGGCGCGATCCGCGCGCCAGGGAGGGGGTTCAAGCGCGGATCCAAGAAATCCTGTCGGAATTTGAATGTCAAGTGCTATGCGGTCGTGTTGTTCTTCTAAGCTTGCAGGTGCAGGTGCAGGTGCGTTGCGGATGTCTCATACCTGAAGCATAGTGGAACCCGTGCCGCGCCCTGGAACCAGCCAAGCACACGCAGGACTCCACATCACCACCACGAAACACGGGACGGTGGCGAGCAAGATCAGGTGGATTCATGCGGGCACCCCAGAGAGAGGAGCATCCCAGACCGTATCGCGGGTCCGCGCTACAGCGGTAGCCTTCCGCCCCCTTCAGGCAGTCTTTTTTCCGTACTTGCGCACGAAAAGCGGGAGAAAAGGAGTATGGAAGGGGGTAGAAGCCGACCAGAGGATGAGGAGTCCAGGATTTGTTTCGGTCGAGTGTGGCCCCCAGTCCCTCCACTTCGCTCGTGTCCCCTTCGCCTGCCCATGATCCGACGGGGGGAGGAGGAGGAGGAGGAGGAGGAGGAGGAGGAGGAGGAGGAGGAGGAGGAGGAGGAGGAGGAGGAGGGAGGAGGAGGAAGAGGAGGAGGAGGAGGATGAGGCGGGGGAATGAGTATGAAAGCCTGCGTCGCTACAATGAAGACGGCATCGAGTGCACCGCTTCGGGCAGAGAAAGGACGTCGTGGTGTACCGCTTGATCACCGCGGGCACAATGGAGGACACAGCAGTCCACAGCTACTGAGTAGTGAGGGCGGGCTACCATGAACACGTGAAGGCAAGCAGGTCGGGTTGGAAAGGGGCCCGTTGTTCCTTGGGCTCGTCCATAGTTGTTCCTCTCGCGCTCCTCGTGCATCCAGGTGCTTTGGGGCCCAAATAGGAGCGTCGCTCCTTTTTTTGTGTTCCTCACGTCCATAGCTTGACTGCATGCGAAATGCGAATTCGCCACCATGTGTGGCCACGCGTAGAATACAGTGAACCGCTTGTTGCACACGCACACACGCGCGCGTGCACATTCACACATTCTCTCTCTCTCTGTCTCTGTCAGTCTCTCTCTCTCTCTCTCTTTCTCTCTCTTTCGTTCCACGATCTGTGGTTAGCAAGCGGTGACCCCAAACAGCATTATATAACAGTGCAAACGGATGCTCATACGCAGCACACTAGACATCAATGCAACGCCGCAAAGCAAAGCAACGAATGGCAAATCAATACCAAGCAATGCACATCAATGCAAGACACCGCAACGTAAAACGAATCAACGCAAAGCAACGCAATTCAAAGCAACGCTAAGCATCACACAGCAAGGCAACACAGCGTAATGCCAAGCAGTGCAATGCACCATTTTACAGCAAGGCAAAGCAACGCAATACACATCAGACCAATGCAGCGCGATGCAAGTCAAAGCGATGCAACGTAGTGCAAAGCAGCGCAGTGCAAAGAAGCAAGGTCACGTAACACAACACACAGCAAGGACAAGCACCGCAGTGCAACCGATGTTGTGCATTCGAACGGCGGCGACGGGGCGCCGACGGCGGCTACATAGCTCCCAGAGCGGCACGCAGGCCCAGTTCCTCGGAACACAAGTAAGAACCGTCAAGTGCAAGCCTTGTTCGGGGAATCTACTTTATACATTTGTATGCATCTATATATATATGTATGTATGTATGTATGTATGCATGTATGTATGTATGTATGTATGTATGCATGCATGCATGTATGTATGTATGTATGTATGTATGTATGTATTTATATATATATATATATATATATATACACACACATATATATACACATACACACACCTATATATATATATATACATATATATATATATATATGTAGAGATGTATCGGAGTAGGCTGGCGGGGGGGGCCGGGCCGGGGCCGTCATCCCCCATGGGCGCCCCCCCGAACCTTTGGGGGGTCACAGACCCCCCCGGGACTGCCCCAGGCCGCTTCCAAATTGCCCACGACAAGCCACGCGGGCCGTTAAGATGGTCAAGAAAGCTTCCGAAGACGCCCAAGAGCGCCCCAAGAGGGCCCGACATGGCTTGCAGATGGCCGACGAGGCCCAAGAGGGCCTTCAAGAGGCACAAATCGGCCCATTCCTGTCGTAAGACGTACATTTTCAGCATACTCGCTGGCTTCGTCTCCACAGTGCCCCAGACGCCCCCGAGGAGCCCCGACACAGCCCAAGCGAGACCCAAGAGGGCCCCAGACGGCCCAAAAGAGTCGGCCTGTGGGGCTCACGGACCCCCCCGAGACGGCCCAAGAGGCCCCGAAGCCGGCCCAGGAGGCCCCCAAGACGCCCTCAGGGAGGCCCAAGAGGGCCCCGTTCGAAATCATGTTCTCGGAAGCCTCTCTGGGAACATGATTTCCAGTTTCCCAGGGCCCCCCAGAGGGCCCCAGGACAGCATCAGCGAGGCCCCTGAAGGCCCGAGAAGGCTTGAAGATGGCCGAAGAGGGCCCCAAGAGGGCTTTCAAGAGGAACACATCGGCCCATCCCCGTGGTGAAACGTACATTTACAGCATACTCGCTGGCTTCGTCTCCACTGTGCCCCAGACGCCCTCGAGGAGCCCTAACACAGCCCAAGAGAGAACCAAGAGGACCCAACACGGCCCCGAAAGGGTCGTCCTGTGGGGCTCACCGAACCCCCCAAGACAGCCCAAGAGGCCCCGAAGCCGGCCCAGGAGGCCCCCAAGACGGCCTCAGGGAGGCCCAAGCGGGCCTCGTTCGACATCATGTTCCCCGAAGCTTCTCTGGGAACATGCCTTCCGGGCTCCCAGGACGCCCAAGAGGTTCACAAGACAGCCTCAGCGAGGCCCCAGAAGGCCCGAGAAGGCTTCAAGATGGCCGAAGAGGGCCCCAAGAGGGCTTTCAAGATGCAAACATCTGCCCATTCCCGTCGTGAAACGTACATTTTCAGCATACTCGCTCGCTTCGTCTTCACAGTGCCCCAGACGCCCCCGAGGAGCCCCGACACAGCCCAAGCGAGACCCAAGAGGGCACAAGACGGCCCAAAAGGTTCGTCCTGTGGGGCTCACGGACCCCCCCGAGACGGCCCAAAAAGCGCCACAGCCGGCCCAGGAGGCCCCCAAGACGCCCTCAGGGAGGCCCAAGAGGGCCCCGTTCGAAATCATGTTCTCTGGGAACATGACTTCCGGGTCCCAGGGCCCCCTAGAGGGCCCCAGGGCAGCATCAGCGAGGCCCCAGAGGGCCCGAGGAGGCTTGAAGATGGCCGAAGAGGGCCCCAAGAGGGCCTTCAAGAGGCACAATTCGGCCCATTCCCGTCGTAAAACGTACATTTTCAGCATACTCGCTGGCTTCGTCTTCACAGTGCCCCAGACGCCCCCGAGGAGCCCCAACACAGCCCAAGAGAGACCCAAGAGGGTCCAACGGCCCAAAAGGGTCGTCCTGTGGGGCTCACGGAACCCCCCGAGACGGCCCAAGAGGTCCCAAAGTTCTCTCTTGTATTGCCCCCTCCTTTGCCTTCTCCATCCCATCCCATCCCCGGCTGTTTCATTGTCATACCCTTTGCTATTCTATTCCGTCCTTTTTGCTGCCGCGTTCAATCCACATCATTGGGTGTTTGGTTTCGCCCCGTCTGCAAGCCTTTTTCTTCTACCTCCTTGACCAACCACAGCTTGGATGCAACTCTTTGCCTTGCCAGTCCCATTCCATTGGGATGGTCCTGTAGTCGAATCAGTCGCATGACTGTTTGGGCTTCAATTTACTTCTCGTGCATTGTGCGTTGTTCTTGCGACTGTTTGTGTGCGATGCCTCATTTTTATGATTGGTCGGTTGTATCATGCGGGGATGCGCACACTGCGTCATTCGCCTCGCTTTTCCTCCTCCTCCTCCTCCTCATCATCATCATCATCATCCTTCTTCACACAATGTCAGTTCGCCCCAGTGCCAGTGTAGATGGCACCCGCGCTGCCCCTGCAAGGACAAGCAGGTCGCGTGGAAGGGGCCGTGGGTAGGAAGGATGAGGACTCTCTCCCTGGTTACGTTCCGTATCAGCATCATCATCCTTCTCCGTCTCCTCCTCTCCTCTCTTCCCCTCCTCGTGGACGTTGCACTTTTACTCTTGACATCAGGTGACATATTCGTGTGCTGCTTCGGCCCTCACCCTTCTCCGATTGGGGCTGCGGATCTGCATCGCGATGTCTTTTTCACTTGGCTTGTGATGCGAGCGGCACGCTCGCGAGCCAATGCCATGCTGATGCGATTGCTTTCGCAGAAAACAGCAAAACAACAAAGGAGGAAAATAAGGAGAGCTACGTCAGCTACGGGGAGGGAGGGGAGAAGGGGCATCTGGAAGGAGCAGGAGTGGAAGGGGGAACGGGGGTGGGAGACGAGGGGGTGTCGAAGGGCGAGGACGATAATGGGCGTGGGAGAGAGAGAGAGAGGGGGGTGGGGCAGGAGGGGAAAGGGGATTGAAGAGGCAGTAGCTGCAGAAGAGATTGGGAGGGGATGGAAAACACGACGGACGGGAGGACTGCGTATTTGGCCTGCGTGGAGCAGGGGTGGCCCCTCGGGGCAGGTCCACCCCCGCCGCGAGTGCCATCCACCCCGGAGGGCCCACGGGCCAGCGCCACGGGGCGGCGGGTGGCACCCCGAAGGGGCGCCCCCGAGGATTGCCCTTTAGGGCCCGCCCGATCGGTGCACGCGCGGGGCACGAGGCTCCGCACGGGCAGGCAGCCATCCGCCCACCCGTGCCATGCGGCGCGCCGTGCAGAGCACCTTCCCGCCGCGCCCCATCGGGCGCATGTCGGCACGGCGGCCACGGCGGCGGCCCGATGGGCCCTCGGCGTGCGCCTGCTCGCATTGAGACGTCACCTTCCGCGCAGGGCGGCCCAGCAGCGGCCACGGCGGCGGCCCCGACGGGCCCCTGGTGCGTGCCAGCTCGCACGGAAGCGCCAGCTGCGACGCTGCGTGGACGAAGCCTTCCGCGCAGGGAGGCACCGCAGCGGCCACGGCGGCGGCCCCGACGGGCCTCTGGTGCGTGCCGGCTGGAGCGGCGGCGCTGGCGGCGAAACATGCTCCAGCTCGCAGTCCTCCGCGGGCGCGAGCCGCCTGTCACGCGGCATGGCACCCGCCTCCAGCGCCGCGAGCTTCGCGGCCCGGGCGCTGCCACGCACGTGGCCGCTGCCACCCTCAGTCATTCTCCTTCCTGATTCCACGCTCTGCCGCGCGTTGTGCGCAGCGGTCGTTCCCCCCTTCGTCCTCGTCCTCTTCCTCCTCCTTCCCCTTTCCTTTTGTCTCCTCTCTGCGCTGCAGCGCCTCCGCCTGGCGCGCGCCCGCCCGCGAAGGCGGCCGCCATTGCGGGCGGGCGCCCTGCCGCTGCCTCCACGGCACCCACTCGGGCTCCGACCTGAGGCGGGGGGCCACACTCGGCAGACACCGCCGCTCCCGCAGCCTCGAAGCGACGGCAGCAAAGGCGGGAGAGAGAGAGAGGGAGAGGCCGAGGGAGAGCAGCAAGCACGCGACAGCGCTGGACCTGAACGCTGTCTTGCTGGACTTCGGCTGTGTTTTGTTTTGCGTTTTGGGAGGGAGGTACAGAAAAAACAGGCAGAGCTAAATGAACAACGAAACTGAAAAACAACGTTTGGGTCCAGCCCTGGCACGCGACGTGCAGCAGAGAGTGACTGGCAACGACAGCCCGCATATACTACAGCCCATCCCCAGAGCGAATCTCTTGACAGCTTCTTGGCCTCATGTTGGCGGCCGTGCTGGGCGGGGCGTGGGGTAAAGCAGGGCGCGGCAGAGGACTGGCGAGCATCGCCCGGGGGGGGTGCTCTCTCCATCTCTCCTGAGCATCGGCCAGGGGCGTTGCTCAGGGGGGGATTCGCCGCGTTCCATCGCCCAAGGGGATTGGAATGCCGCCCCTGCGTGGACAGCTCCCGCCAAAGAATCCCCCGAGAGGGGGGGAGGAGCAACCGTGGGGCGCCCGAGGCCGGGCCCGCAGCGGCCAGAGCCGAGCCGGGCCGGGCCGAGCCGGGCCCCTTTAGGTCTGGAGGTAGGATCCGGCCGGGCGAAAGGGGTAAGACGACGCGAAGATCGGGACAAAATCGGATCGGGATAACTCGAAATCTCTGAGAATCGGCGGGTTTGGAGGATGCGTTGGGCGCCGCGGCCGCTCCAGAGCGTTCCGGAACGCTCTGAGAGCGCTCCGGAACGCTCTGGAGCGATTCGTCCCGATCCTAGCCCTGTCTTACACGTTCTCCGCGGTGTTATGTCGGAGCTATGAACCAGTTGCCCTGGCCTCTGCCCGCTGTCCCCGCGGCCCGGGCAGGCAGCGCGGCGCCGCCGTGCGGAGGGCGAGGGGGAGAGGGAGAGAGGGGTGGCGACGGCCAGAGGACGGCAGGCTGCGCTGGACCGCCGAAGCCTCGCGGTTTGTGGAAGCGGCCGCTTGGCCAGGACATCCTAAAGATACTTCGCTGCTTTCGGTGCACCTGGGCACATCCCATGCGCTACCGGCCTGAAGGGCGCGATCCAGCTGTCGGGCTGAGGTATTGGGGATGCTTGTGCGCACGAGGATCCCCGATACCGTCACGGACGTGACGTTCCGCGAGGACGCCCTGGACGGCACCCGGAGCTTCAATACCCAGAACCGCATGTCCTTGCCAACCGTCGCGGTCCACTCAGATGGCGACGGCTTCTGGAATTCACGCCTGGCTGTCTCCTCCAATTGTTGGCACCGCGTTGGGACGCCTCCGAAGTCAGACAACCGTCCCGCCACTTCCAGCATCGAAGTGATGACCCGCTTGAACTCCTCTCGATGCTTGGCACCAACCGCGTTCCACTACTCTCAAAGTGCCTACTCGCAAACGTCCAAGAGACATCCGCTTGCCTCGATGTAATGTAGCGTAAATCCCCCGCGGCGGATCCAGGCCACTTGCGAGTAGTCAGGTTGCGAGTCGTGGAACGCGCTTGTCTAGCTTGGCGCGACGCCCTGGCCAGGCGCCTTCGCCGTAGAATGCGCACTGCTGAGGAGCTTCCCGAGGTCCTGCTGCGCCGCCTGTGGCGCCTCTGGAGGCGGCCCTGCCAGTGGGCCTGCTGCCGGCGCCGGCGCGGAATTGCGGACCGTCTCCTGGATGGCGTCGCGCACCGCGGCTGGCGCGGCATCCGCCTGGTCTACGGGGCCTAGAATTATACAGCACAACCACCACCACCTCCGTCCCCCCCTCCCCTTCCCAGGACAGACGACAGGAAGAGGACGCTAGAGGAGGGAGGGGGGATGGAGGAGGTGGTGGTTTATATGATTGGGGCCGCCATGTTCAATCTCGTCCAGAAGCGAGCGCACCCGTTCCACCAGAATCGAGGTAAGGGCGCCGTTGTGTCTGCCGGGGCCGGCCTGGCCGGCAGCCACGGCGGCAGGGGCCTTCTCCCTCTCCGCCGTGTCGGCGCCACGCCCCCCTGCGAAGCCCACCAGATTCGGCCACGCGCAGTTGGGGGTGGGGGGAGGGGGGAGGGCGTCTTAAGGACCCCTGCTTCCTAGATGGCGCGGGCCTTCTCCCCTCCTTCTAATAAGCCCTCCCCCCTGCCTCCACCCCCTGTGTGCACCGCTAACAGGTGCAGCGAGGCGGTGCGCCTGGGCTCCTCCGTGCCGCGCGAAAGCGCACAGCGGTGCCGGGTGCCCACGGTTGCGGGAGGGGCGGGGGCCTTGGCACTGGCAGCGTGCACACGGGTCCGCCGCTGGCAGGGCTTGTGCAGCCCCCAGAGCGCCAGGCTGCGGCTGTCGCCTCGCTGGGGTGGTCAACCCACCTGGGGGTGGTGGCATGCGTGGCCCTGGCACCAGGGGGGTGGGGGGCACGGGTGTCGCTTGTAACCAAAGCTTCGCGGAAGGGGGCGGGCGCGTTATTCCCGCAGTTGCCACCACCACCGCAGCAGGAGGCATCCTCAGCGGGCAGTCCGCCCCGCGAGCTGGGATACCACCCAACACAGCGGCCGCCACTGCAGGGGGTGCTGCTGTCAGGGTCTGCGGTGGCGGCTGCAGGTGCGGGTGGTGTTTCCGCTGTGGGGGAGCTGGCTGCATGTGCAAGTGCTGCTTGAGCAACTGCTGCTCCAGAAGGTGCTGGACGAGTTGCAGTTGCTGCGGCGAGAGCTGCTGTTGCGGGGGCGGCAGCTGCGGCTGGGGCGGGGTTTGCTGCAGCGCGGGTGCGAAGGCAGCTGCCCAGCTTGCTGCTGCAGCTGCGACTGTTGGCGCAGGAGTGCCGCGGCTGCCCACGCCTGTGCGGCGAAGTCCGCTGCAGGCGCACTTGACCCCAAGGGCGGGGCATGACTCCTTAGCCCCATTGGGTCTGGCCAGGCTGGTTGTCCGCGAGTGGGCCAGATGGCCAGGCCGCGGCGGCAAGACGGCCCCCATCCCGGCCCCAGCAGTCCCCCGTTTCAACAAACACGCCATGCTCGGCGACAGGCGGCGGCAGAGCGGCAGGGCAGGTGGCAAGGCGAGCAGGGCATCCTGCAAGACCCTCGACGGCAGGGTCCAACCGCATGGCCCAGCCCCCTCTGGCCGCCCCCCTGCCCCCAAGCCCCTGCGGTTGCGGGGCAGCGGGGCTAGCCGAGCGGGCAGGGCATGTGGCGCGGCCCGCGAGGGAGGAGGCGAGGAAGGAGGGAAAGAGGGGGGCGGAGGCAGGACTCTTCGGGGCGGAAGGGGAGGGAGGGGAGGGGACGGGATGGAACAGGGGACGGGAGGGGCGGGATGGATGTGGAAGCTTTCCGTCCCGCTCCCTCCTCGTTGACGTCCTCATCCTCCACCTTCCCATCGCCCTCCACAATTACTCAATATGAAAAGACTCTCCCTCTTCCCCTGATGGCGTCCGGGTGATGGCCGCGCACCCTCCGCGTACTGTTTTTTACACACAGGATTCCCGGGAAATCCCGGGAAACGACTCTCGCAGAGGCGCCGGCGTCATTTTCGGGCCGAACGCCCCCCGCGTATTGTTTTTTTTACACACAGGATTCCCGGGAAACGGGTTTTCGCCTGCGTTTTTTTTCAAAATGATGCTCTCGCTGAGGCGCCGGCCTCATTTCTGCTCCCGAATCGTTCCGAATCGTGCTCCCGCTGCAGCGTGGGCCTCATTTTCAGATCGGTGTTTGGCCTCCGTCGTTCAGGATGGCGTTCTCGCCCCAGCGCGGGCCTCTTTCTCGCGCGCCCATCCGCCCGCCACCACCGCGCCGCACCACCACCACCACCACCACCACCACCACCACCACCACAACGCACACACGCACGCACGCACGCACGCACGTGCACCACCACCCACTACGCACGCGCGCGCGGAGCCACAGGTCCGCTACGACACGCGTCCTCGGATAGAGAAAATCAGCGCCATGGTAAGGGATGGGAGGGAGGGGTAGGACGTCAGATATGACGCGAGCGCATAGCTTGACCTCCTCCCCTCTCCTCCTCCCCCTCTCCTCCTGATCCTCCTCCTTCATCCCAGGAGGTGGCCCAGGGAGGAGCGCAGCGGGTGACTCGAATATGCCGCCCAGGACAAGATGTTCCGCCTGCAGGTGTTCAAGAGGGGCGTGTCGAAGCCCGGCACCCGGCTGGCGGATCGATCCCTTCGGCTCTACGTACGCGTCGGTCGTTAAAAGTATATGTTTTTTTCATCCCCGGATCCCAGTCGACTTTGGCCGCTTTCCTGCTTCAAGAATCGAGTGGTATTCCCTCCTCTCTCCTCTTCAGGGGGCAGGCGGACACCCCAATCTGCTTACAACGCCTTCCTACTGCATGTTTCTGCCCACTTCTTCCGACCGACAGGTAAGAGCGACCTCTCGCCGGAGTGACCTCTGGTGCGGGCACGCTGGGGTCCCCAAATGGCTGAATGCTGTGCGGTTTGGCCTCCCCGCGGAAACCGAAAGCTGTCCTCCACGGGTCACCCTTCCCTATAGGATCACTCTTGCGTTTAGCCGATCCCTCCCTTCTCGGGTCGCATGCAGCGACGGTCTGCGTCTGCTGAAAGCTGTTCTCTCGGATCCTCTCTGGTCGACCCGGGTTATGGGAGACAGGTGGAGCCCCATCCTCCTCCCCCCCCTTCTCCGGTGATGCGCATGGAGGCTGATAGAAGCTGCCAAGCGGCCGGCCTTGGCTCGCGGCATGGCCGTGGTGGATTCTGAGAAGCACTGGCCCCGGGGTGCAGCGCGCCCCTGCTCGATCCACTCTCTGCCCCCCGCTCGGAGAGCGAAGCTACGGCATGATCATTTCCCGAAGGGCCGCGCGAGCTTCTCGGGTCGGCGCTGGACCCCCCCTTTCCCTTGCCCTGAAGTCGGGCCTGCCCCTCTACAGGAGGAGTGTTCAAAGATAGTCAAAAGATAGTCTGGGGACGATGTTTTGATTGTTTTTTTTATGATTTGGGGAGCATTTTTGGAATCTGTTTTGTCTATCGTCCAAGATCCGCCTGTAGGGGGACATATGCCCGACCTCCCCTTGCCCCTCTCCCCAGACCCCCGGGCGGCGTCTCTGGCGCCGCCTCTGGCGCACCCCGCGTGCCGGGTAATGGGTGAGGGGAGGGGGGGCCCAAGCAGTGGCGACGCGTCTTGGCTCACCTATAGCCCTACCAAACAATGTTCTAAGAACCTTATGTGGTTTCAACGACATGTTCTTAGAACATTTCTGGCGGAGTCTGCCTTGTTTGAACACATCGTGTTTGTGTTCTAAGAACATTGTTTTGTTCTCAGAACGTCTTTGGGTTCTAAGAAAATTTCGTGGTACGACTATAGGAATGCCCTGACGGTCGGTCCCTGCTCAAGGACCAGCGCCTTCAGGAGAAGTCCGTGGGGAACTCCGAAAGTCAGGCGATCGCAAACATGGCTCCAAGGGGGCGTAGACTACCGACGGGTCCCGTTCCCACGGGAAATCGCAGCTTTCCGCGGTAACTCCGAAAGAATGGCGACCGCAAATATGGATCAAGGGGGCGTGGATTAGCGACGGTTCCCGTTCCCACGGGAAATCGCGGATTTCCGCCGCCGAGCGAGGTGGCGCCAGCCGCATTTTGGGCAGGGCACCTCCCCCAATCCATGGATCGCTAATCCATGCTTGCGCCCACCCGAACGGTCTTTCTTAGGCCCCAGGCCTGGTGTCTAGACAGGCGAGCAAAGGATCGCTCTTTCGGCCACGGCCCCACCACAACCACCACCGCCGTCTTTCACTTATCATCTGTCCATCCTGATGCTGGTGCTGCCCCTGCCCCTGCCCCTTTTCCCTTCCCTGCTACTCCTCATCCTGGACCCTCCTCTTTCTCCTCATCCTGGTCCCTCCTCCTCCTCGTCCTCCTCCTCCTCCTCCTCCTCCTCCTAGGAAGCACCAGTGGACGTTCGCTCCTCCTAGGGAGCTGGCGGATATCGCTCTGCTCGTCGTCCTCCTCCCGGGGAGAACGGGGAGGTCGTCTCCTTCCCCCGCCCTCAGCGGCCTCCGTCTGCTGTCCTGGTCATGCGGGCCCAGGCCATTTGGGCCGCACTGGCACACTTCTTTATTGGGGAAACGAAAACCTCGAGTAAGCCAGAACTCAGGTTGGCCGACCGTATGAGGCGGGGAAGGTGGATGACAATTGAAGAGGAGGAGGAGGAGGAGGAGGAGGAGGAGGAGGAGGAGGAGCAGGAGGCCGCCTGCTCCACAGTCATCCTCAGCAGCGGCAGCCAGTTCGGCTCAAGGGTGGTTTCGGCTTGCAGGCTTCGCCCGCGCACCTGGGCTTTCCTGCAGCCTGGGCAGAAGTAATCAACCATGCGCGCCGTGTCCGTCGTCGTGGCCAGCACGCCGAAGGGGGGGATCGGCCGCGATGGTGCGCTTCCGTGGAGCTTGCCCGAGGATGCGCCGGGGGACGACAACTCTAGACCTGCACCGGTTCCTGGGCCCAGGCTGGGACCAACCAAGATGGTGTAGGTGTAGAATTGGCGTCCTCCTCCGAGGACATGGCACACTTCAAACGGGTCACCAAGGCTTTGCCAGACGACGCGGACGCGGGTAAGGTCAACGCTGTCATCATGGGCCGCAAGACCTGGGAGTCCATCCCAAGCAAGTTCCGGCCTCTACCTGGTAGGCTCAACGTCGTGTTGACGCGCACCGTTGCCGAACCGTCGAAGCAGCTCTACCCCTCGGACGTGATGGTCGCATCGTCTGTTGCGAGCGCTGTCGATGAGCTGGCGAAGCGCCAGGATGTGGCCGACATATTTGTGATCGGAGGCCAGGCCGCGTACCAGGAAGCAGTGGAGCTGCCCAACTGCCGCTACATCTTCATGACCCGCGTCGGCAAGGATCTCGAGTGTGACGCATTCTTCCCAGCCTTCGACGCCACCAAGTTTCAAGTGGTGCACCTGAGCAAGACGTCAAGCCACGACGGCCTCCCGTACGACTTCATCGTGTACGAGCAGAAGGCCATGGCGGCGGCGAAAGGGAGCCCGTCGCCGGCGCTGGCTGCCATGGGCGGTGCAGGGCAGCTCTTGCACGAGGAGTACCAGTACCTCGACGCCATCCGCGAGATCATCGAGAAGGGCGAGGCGACAGGCGACCGCACCGGCGTGGGCACCAGGTCGATGTTCGGGAAGCAGATGCGCTTCGACCTCAGTAAGAGCTTCCCCCTGCTGACAACGAAGAGAACGTTCTGGCGCGGCGTCCTGGAGGAGCTTCTGTGGTTTGTGAAGGGCGACACGAATGCCAATCACCTGTCCGAGAAGGGCGTGAAGATTTGGGACGCCAACGGCTCGAGAGAGTTCCTGGACAAGCGCGGGCTTTCCCATCGGGAGGAGGGGGATCTAGGCCCTGTCTACGGCTTTCAGTGGCGCCACTTCGGGGCCAAGTATGTGGACATGCACACCGACTACACAGGAAAGGGCGTGGACCAGCTGGCGCAGTGCATCCGGAAGATCAAGGAGGATCCGAACGACCGGAGGATCTTGCTCTCGGCGTGGAACCCAGCCGACCTCTTCGAGATGGCCTTGCCGCCTTGCCACATGTTCTGCCAGTTCTACGTGGCCAACGGCGCGCTCTCGTGCCTGATGTACCAGCGCTCCTGCGACATGGGCCTGGGCGTACCGTTCAACATCGCGTCCTACTCCCTACTGACCTGCATGATGGCGCAGGTCTGCGGCCTGCAGCCGGGCGAGTTCATCCACACGCTGGGGAACGCGCACGTCTACGAGAACCACGTCGAGCCCCTGAGGGAGCAGCTGGAGCGGACCCCGCGCCCGTTCCCAATCCTGAGGGTGAATCCGGACGTCAAAGACATCGATGGCTTCAGGGCCAGCGACTTCGAGCTCGTGGGGTACAGCCCGCACGGCGCCATCAAGATGGACATGGCCGTGTGAGCCTCTTGGGCGAGGCCTGACGGCGTGCACAAGGAAGCGGTCGAAGGGGGGCAGCCTTCTCGGAGCAGGCCAGCGGCTTCCGAGAAGTCAGGGGGCCTCTTGGAAGCCTTCCCGGCTTCCAGGAAGCCTTCTCGGAGGCTCCCCGGGGCCTCTCTCATGAGGCTCCTGGATTCTATTCTGAGGCCCCCCCCCGCCTATCCTCATGTCGGTCGGGCCTGTCCCTCCACAGGAGGAATATTCAAGAAATCGTCAACAAACAATATGGGGACGTTTATTTCAGTTTTTTTTGACCATTTTGGATTTGTTTTTGATTTTTTTATTTCTCGCCCAAAATCCCCCTGTAGGGGGACATGCCCGACCTAAGCCGATCCAGGAGGCTGGGGAGCTCAAAAGCTATCGATACCGCTCCTCCCCAGACCTCTCCCGTGCTGCGTTCTGATCAGACTGCCGAGGAGAAACCAGCCGTGGCGACGAGGGCTCTCTAGGACCAGCAGCGGCACAGACAGCCCGCTTAGCAAGGGTGAGAAATTGTCCGAGGTGATCCTTGCAGCCTTCCCCTCGGCCCACATCCTTAGCCGCTTTCGCTGGCCGCACCCCGCTCGCCAAGTGTCGACATGGCTCTCCAAGGCCCTTGCAACATGCTCTATCTTCGGTGGTTCAAAGATGGGGTCCTGAGGGGTGAGGTCCTAAGGTCGAGGAGCCTCAAACAACGCAAATCTACCCTTGGAACCCTCCCGATCCTCAGGACCCCATCCCTCAAGACCCCATCCCTGAACCACCGATATCTATCAAGAGAGGAAAAAAACAGCCGGACCAGACAATTGGCGCTTACTAACGGCCCTGGGCGTTTGCCAAACAGTCCTGCCCTGTTCGCTTCCTTCTTTGGGCGCGCTTGCTAAACGGCTTCGCGCGTCGGGGTGGTCATTATGGGGGTGGATTGTTTGACTTCTGATATATTCCTCCTCTCGGGGGCCACCTCCCTCGCGCCGCCCTCGCGCGCGCCGTCGAGAGGCGCCCCACCGACGTCGAGCCTCGCGGGGCGCGCGCGCGCGGGGCGCGCGCGGGGTGCCGCCTCCGCGCACGGCAGCGCCCGCGGTGGGCCGAGCACTGCCCCTGGGGGGCAGGCGGCAGTGCTCGCGGGGCGCGCGGGGCGCGTCACAGCGCCCGAGGCCGTGGGGCGCCCACGGCGGCGGCACAGAGCTGTGGACCCCGCGCTGGTGCAGAGGGCTTCCTCCGTAGGTCGGAGAAGAAAAAAACACATGCATAAACACAATCTGTCGTCGCTCCGCGCGGATTTCTTGGACCTGCGCTGGGGCCCCCTGGCGGCGCCTCCGGCGCCGCCCCTGGCGCGCTCCGCGCGCCAGGGAGGGGGCCCAGCGCGAATCCAAGAAATCCGCGCGGACCGTCGGAATGTTATGTTCACGTGTTTTGTTTTTCCTTGTCCGTAGACGGGATAACGGTGATGTAAGCAACGGCGATGTAAGGTTCGGTATTGTGGGAGCGCGCGGTTCGCGCCGTCCTACAACTCGCTGTGCGGTGTTCGCTCCATCCGTTCGCAGATTGGGGAGATGTAGGAGAGTTGGGTTCGCGATGTACTAGATCTTGGTTCCTAACGTCACCGTTCAGCAACATCGCTGTTCGCCTGGCCTCGGGCCGGTGATGAGCTTCCTCCTCTGGGGCCCCCCCTCTCTCTAGGCCTCCTAGACGGGGTCGGAGTAGATGGGGTCGGAGGATCGCGCCGCATCGCCGATGCATCGGCGATTCGCATCGGCGATGCGGCTCGATGTGGGGCCCAAGTTTCTCCACACCGACGTGGCCGATGCATCGCCGACGTAGCTCGCCGATGCATCGCTGATGCATCGGCGATGCGGCGAGCTCCGTTGACCCCACCTGCTCGGATGTAGGCGATGCAGGCTAACGGCGATGCAGGTCACGGCGAGGTAGGTGTCGGTCTTGTGGGAGCGCGTGGCTCGCGCCGTCCTGCAACTCGCTGTGCCGCGCTCGCTCCATCCGTTCGCAGATTGGGGAGATGTAGCAAGGTGCGGTTCGTGATTCCCTGCACTCTTGGTCCCTAACGTCGCCGTTCGGCAACATCGCGGTTTCAGCCTGGCCTTGGCTCCTCCAGGGGGTGGGCCCCTCTCTGCCGGAGGCGCCGCCGCTCCCCTCGGGAACCAGTGCATCGCAGACGCAGCCAGCGCATCGCCGATGCACCGGCGATGCATCGGCGATGCATCGGCGAGGCGGCGAGCTCTGTCGACCCCCTCGACTCGGATCGGAAGCCGGGCAAGGGCTGCTAAGTCCGTGGCTGCTAGAATTGACCTCCGGGAAGTTGTTTTCGTGCTTCTGGGAAGCAGCCCGTGGACTGTTTCGCGTGCCGCGCCTCCTTCCGGGAAGCTGCTTTTTCCTTCCGGGAGGGCCGTGTTTGCAGCCACGGTTTTTGCAGCCCTCGCCCAGCTTCCGATCGGACCCCATCGACGAGGCCTCCACTCCCTGCCGGACGCGCCGGTCCCCTCGGGAGCCCCCAGGCGGCGTGGCGACCACGCCGCGTGGTGAGTCCGAGGGGGGGAGGGGTCGGGGCCGCCGCGCGGCACTTGGGACTCGGGTCGCTCTCCGTCAGGCAGAGGAGGAGGAGGAGGAGGAGGAGGAGGAGGAGGAGGAGGAGGAGGAGGAGGAGGAGGAGGGGGAGGGGGAGGGGGAGGAGGAGGAGGAGGAGGAGGAGGAGGGGGAGGAGGAGGAGGAGGACCCAAAGGAGGAGCAGGAGGAGGGGAAGAACTGGCGCCGTCGGGGGACGGCGAGTAATTCCGGTGGCGCCGCACCGAGGAGCGGTCTTGGGGCCCCGGAGGTGGGCCGCCTGGCCCGATGGTGCGGAGGTCTGGTGATGGGATGGGCGATTTGAGGTACCCGGCAGGCGGCGAGGAATCTGAAAGCGAAGGGGACGACGGCGTGGAGGAGCAATATTTTGCAGTTCGCGCCAACGCGGAGCAGGCCTGGGGCGCCAGAGCCCCGTGCAGGGCGCGCATGTCCGGCTGTGGCTCTCGCACTGGGCGGCCCCGTTGCCGCAGGTTCCCATCGGCCTCACGGGGCCCGTGCGTGGCTCGAATTCTCTTTTTTTTTCGGTGTCGCCGTCGGTCGCCCTGATCACCACTGACTTCGCCGATCGGCTTGGCACCACTGTCCTGGAGTGGGGCCCCCGTGCGAGGGGAGAGGAAGAGCCAGAGAGAGAGAGAGAGACAGAGAATGGCCCAACCTCCATCTTCTCCCTTATCCCCCTCCTCCACCTCTTCCTTCTCTCCCCCGTCCAGTTGCAAGGGACAAGGCGGAGCGCGTAGGAGTGCCAGAAGTTTCGGAGTCAGGAGTGCCCACGAACATCAAACAATCCAAAGCGTCAGCGGCAGACTCTTGGGAAGCGCCCGCAGGACCCTGAGGAACAAAAGCATAACAAGTGTTGTGGAAGTCGATCACGTAATTGAGAGGAAGCATGCTGCCAAATAATTCCCAGATGTCTAAAACATGTGCCAAACATGTTCAAATATGTAAATATCGTGTACGACACATATCCATAATATGTGTTGCGCATGTTAAACACCTCTTGAATTCAATGATGGGAGTGTGAGAGTGTCCATTGGCATGGCATCCACAAAACAAGTGCTCCATTGAGAATGAGACAGCTGGGTCGGTCGGCCCTGGGGGCGGTGGCAAAACTACTGAGCCAGGCGACATTCCTGGTCAAGGCTGCGGCGCTGGCGGAGCGGGGGCAGACGAGGACAGGGAGGCGAGGGACTGCGAGGAGCAGGATGAAAGGGGCCCGGGGCGGGCCTCTTTCGTCTTCCTCCTCCCCCTCCTCCTCCTGGTTCCTCGTTCCTGTCGGCCTGAGGGTTCGGTGAATGCGGCCTCCCCTCCTCTTCCTCCTCCTCCTCTTCCCTCCTCCTCCTCCTCCTCCTCCTGCTCCACCTCCTCCTCCTCCTCCTCCTCCTCCTCCTCCTCCTCCTCCTGCGGGTGTGCCGAGGAGCGGGTCTCGCGTGCGTCGCGAGGGCGCTCCTCCTCCGGGCGGTGCGGCCTCTCGGGGCCGCAGGGGGCTGCCCGCCCGTCCGTCCCCGCAGGGGCGGTTTTCTACCGGCCCCGGCTCCGCTGCGGAGGGCAGAGGTTGGTGGAAGGCCTGCCTTCAGTCGGGGAAGCGTGGGACTCGTGTGAGCCGGAGCTCGGGCTTGCCGACGTTCTCGGACGAGTGCGTCCTGGACGTTGACGGTCCAGCTCTCGTGGGTTGTTTGCAGCGGGAGCTCGCGTCAGATTTCAGATTGGGTCTCGTCATGTTTATGATGGCCCCGTCAGGCCAACCCGAGTCCCCCGCACCCGAGCGCTAAGTCTCCCCGATTCAGGGGGGCAAACTTGGGATCGCCCAGGCGTGGGCATTTTATCTCGGCACGGACCATCGAGGAGCATCCTGGAGCATCGTGCAAAAAACGACACGCACGAAACCGAAAAATGCATGAGGCACGGACGTCCGATCGATGGAGAGGAAACAAGTAATTACCCATACCGCTACCTCTTCTCCGTTGTCCCTTTGTTCGGCCTTGGGAGGCCCTCGTCGCCACCGCTGGATTCGCCTTGGAATTCTGGTCAGAATGCACCCCGGGAGAGGTCCAGGGAGCAGCGGTATCAGTACTTGTTGGTTTCCCCAGTAGCTGGTGACATGTTTGCCTGGACGTTCTGGGTGTTCCAGAGCTCCCCCGTCCATGGGCCGTCGTGGCGTTGCACGGTCTGTGTTGCGTGATCGTCGGCGGCGACCTCTGCTTAGGCCGATGTGCCGCCCCTTGCTGGCCTGATGCGTGAGGGATGGCCTCCGTCGACTGGTGGGGTGCTCCTCCTTCGTTCCATCTCCTCACCAAGGTGGTCCCCGTTCTTGTGGATCCTCCCACTCGCTCTCCCCCTCCTCCTCATCATCCGCCTCCTTCTCCTCCTCCTCCTCTCTCCTCCTCGTCCTCACCCCTCCTTCTCTTCCTTATCTTCCTCCTCGTCCTCCTCGTCCTCCTCATGTTTTTCTTTCTCCTCCTCCTTCCCCCCCCCTTCTCGTCATCTTCCTCATCCTCCTCCTCCCCCATCCTCCTCCTCCTCCTCCTCCTCCTCCTCCTCCTCCGCCTCTTCCTCGTCCCCCTCGCCCATCTCATTCTCCCCTCCTCCTCCACCTCGTGGTTCACATCTCCATCGAGTTTCGAAGGTTGGGCTCAGCACAAACCAGCGCCATGACTTCTGGAAGGCCTGTCGGCATTTGTTAATTCATGAAGATTCCAACGTGTTGGTGACAGCAATTGTCAGAACACCCTGAGGACAATCAACCCAGCACAAACGATAATATTGAGGATGGGGTGGTCTGGTTTCGGCGCTCCCTCCTTCTTCTCATCGCCCCCCCCTCGTCCTAGACAGAGGGAAGCGATGCTTCATGGCTTGTGTGTTTCCCCTGAGGCGCTTCCACAAGTTTTGCCACCGAACCCTGGATGGTGTGTTGGCCCAAGGGCGTTCCGACCGTTATGGCACCCCGATGCGCTCAGCAAAACCCTTCCCAACTGGATGGGGGGAGAGAGAGGAGGTGGAGGTGGAGAAGGAGAAGACGGAAAAGGAGAAGGAGGACGGGGAGGAGGAGGAGGAGGAGGAGGAGGAGGAGGAGGAGAAGGAGGAGGAGGGGGAGGACCCTGAATATCGACGGCCACGTTCTCCATTGATGAGGAGGGGGGGGGAAGTGGAGGAGGCGGGTGAGGGCACCTAAGAACGGCCACCAGACTCTCGGCAGCTTCGACGTATTCCTGATGGCGCTCCCACTTGCCACCGACGCTTGGGATGATTCGAGCATTGGCACGATGGAGGAGAAGGGGGGACAAGGAGGAGAAGGATGATGACTCCCTCTTCCTCCCTGCTGTCTTGCTCAGAGGCTGGGTTGGAGGCCTCATGAGGTAGGTTGGGGTTTTCTCAAAAGCCTCTTGGTGCCTTCGCATGCCTCATGAGTGCTTCCTATACAGGTCTCTCTTGTAGCTCATTGGGGGCGTCTTGATGGCCGACTGGCTGTCTCGGGTGCTGCCTTCGGGCCGGAGGGCTACTGGGGCCCCTTTCGAGTTCCCCTCTTCGGCTGCATCTTGGGAGCATCTTGGGCCCTTCGTGGAAGCTCTAGGAACGTCTTGTCGGCCGTCGTTCGACCTGGGAACGATCTTGCAGGCCATCCATCTTGGATACTCTTCATACTGAGAGGGCGAGCATGTTAATACCACGTGAAATTCCCACTGGGGTTGACGGTATCGGCTTCTTGGGCTTGCCCGCAGAGCTCCCGGGACGGCGCCAAAAAGAGCCCCCCCAAGACGGCATCAGCACGGGCCCCGGAGGCCATTTGCCCAAATAATGTTGCAATGTTTCACGGGGCTCCGAAGAAATCGCTCAGGACGCTCAGAGATCGGAGAGCCAGTGCCCTTGCTCAGAGGAGGAAGAGGTACCCACACTGCTACCCTTCCCTCGTATTCGCATTGTTGGGCCTCTTGGGAGGCCCTCAGCGCCACCACTGGATTCGCTTCGAAGTTCTGCTCAGAACGCAGCCCGGGGGAGATCCAGAGAGTAGCGGTGTCAGTACCTGTTGATTTCTTCTATGTGTGTAGTATGAATCCAATGGCGCGGCGTACGCCTCCTGCGTGTACATCCCGCTTGCAAGCCAGCGTGCAAGATCGTCCCACTACCACTGCAGGAGGGTCGGGTGAAGAAGCAGAGGGGAGTTGGCAACAAGTGTAAGGATTGAGGGGAGCGGGAAGAGATGCCACTGCCGCTGGAAGTGATGATCATGGGGGCTAGGAGGGGCGAGATCAGCAGCAGCAGGAGGCCGGGCAAGCGTGAGCTCCGCACTTTCGACGAGAGGCGGCTCCAGGTGGCAACGTCACCGCCCAAGCCAACCCCCTCCTGCTCCGCTGCGTCGCGGTCCTCGGGTCTCTGAGGCCTTCCCACTTGAGGGCTGCGTCCCCTTCCTCGTCTTCTGCCGGCCCGAGCGCTGCTGTGCTTGATGGCGTGTGTCATCGCCTGCGCGAGGAGAGCGCCGGGCCTGTGGTGGTCGAGACCAGCGCTGATCCTCGCAGCTCTGATTTGAGAAGCCTCAGCCCCTCAATCTCGCTGATGTTGATGTCGAGCAGCTGCCGGCGCCGAGGGCGTACCTCGAGCAGGAGCAGCAGATGCGCTTCTTCTCGCACAGGGAGCTCAAGCAGCTGTTCGAGCCCCCCTGCCAGGCCGTCGGCGGCCCGGCCCGGCCCCCCCCCCGAGTCAGGGTGCGCCGTGGGCGACCCACACCTCGCGCCATCCCTGTGGGTCGGGGGTGGAAAAGAGGGGGGTGATGACTAGGGGGGGGGATATCATGGCGTGGGCCATGATATCCCCCCAGATTTCATGGCGCCCTTTCTTATTTCGTTACGTCCCTGGCCCCGCCGCTGGGCCGCGCACATGTCGCTGGTCATGATTTGCACCCCCCCCTCTTGGACACCCCCCTCTTGGCCGCTCCCGACTTGTGGTTCGGGGGGGGATGGACCTCCTACCCTGACACGTCGACTAGTGAACTGGCCGTTTTCGGTTCGCGAGAGGGCGTCGCGGCCTTCGTTTCTGCGGGTCCAGGTCCGTCGGTTTCGGTCCTAGGCCGTTTTCAGTAAAGGGAGGTTTAATACAGGGAGGTTTGTCCACCGCCGAGTGGCAGTTATCGAAGATGCCTGCGGCGCATCTCCGCCGCCCCCTGCCTTTTGAACTCGCCCACGCGGCCGAGTGTTGTGGCAAGAGCTCTGCCAGGCTATCGTTTGCGCGGCCTTGCGAGATCTTCCGCGTGCGATACGGGCCGAAGCCCTGGGGGGAGCTGTTTTGGAGAAAGATCCATAACCAAGCCGTAAGAGATCGAGCACGCCAGTCACCCTTGTGACAAGCTAACAGGGGGCGGCGGATCCAGTGGCCCTCGGCCCATCCCGCCACCGTGCCTGGGTTGTGGGTTGGAGTTCTCAGGGATGCTTTGTCGGGTCTTTTCGGGGCGCTCTCGGGGACCTCTTCGGAGCAGTTTTGGTTTGGGGGAGCCTCTTGGGAGCCTATTTGGGGCCCCTTGGGAGCCGCTTGCGGCCTCCAGGGAGCCTCTTGGGGCTTCTTGGCAGCCTCTTGAGGCCTCTTGGGGGCTTCTCGGAGGCCTCTTGGGACCTCGCGGGAGGCCCTTGGCGACCCACACCATGCACGATCCTATGGACAGTTATTCACCACGTGTCATGGCGCCCAGGAGAAGTAGTTTACCGAACATGTGCCCGAAATGTTGGATTCAAAACGTAGTTGGGCCGAACTGTGTCTGAAGCTGGAAATCGCATTGGCTTCGCAACAAACACTTCGGTCACATTCGGGCGCGGTCGGAACATTCGAGCGCCAGACTCGGGCCGAAATCCGGGCACAGTTCAGGGCAGTGCACGCCCCTGATAGGAAGGAGGCTGCGTGACATGCACGTTCTCATGCAGCGTTGCTGTCTAGGGCCTCTGTGCACGGTGCAGTAACCTGCCTTCAACAGCCATGCATCGCCGCTCCGTAGCCGTTTTGGCTCAAGCCGTTTTGGCTCAAGCTCAAGCCATTTTGGTTCAAACCGTTTGCGGCTTCAGGTTTTGCCTTTTTTGAAATTCAGTTTCCTATACCGTGTTTCTTTTTGCTAACTTTTACACGACAGCGGCTGCTTGTGGGAGCTTCATCGGGATACCGTATCATTCGTGTGAATGGATCAGTTTGACAATGTGAATCGAGTCAGTGACAAAGTGAATCGAGTCAGGGAGTGGGCAAGAAGCGTTTCTAGTACAAGAGAGTTGACCCTGTATGTCCAGGGTATTCCTGCAGAGTGCACGAAGTCCCAACTCATGGCTTGGATCAACTCCTTCGGATTCGCTGGCACCTACGACTACCTCTACCTGCCGCGCTTCTTCCGCACGCAGAAGTCCAGAGGCTGCCGCCTCCGCCTCGCCGGCCGCTGCGAGCCGCCAGGCCAAACCCAAGGTCGCGGCTGCGCCCAAGCCTCAGCCCAAGGCGCGCCCGCGCCATGCTGCCCCAGCAGACCCCACGCTCGGCTCCAGCCCGAGCCCTGCAGCAGCCGCCTCTACAGCGCCGGGTGCCTTCAAGCCCTGCTCTCTCCATGCTTCCCACTGGAAGGGTACGCTTACGAAGTCCCTTGACGATCTGTTCCAGCCTACGGAGAACCAGCATTTGATTTTCGGTGTGGTTCCTTCGATCCCAGACGGGCTAGTTTCTGCAGCTTCGTCCGTACCCAACGGCACCACCATCACGATCATCTTGGACCGCACGGTGCCCGGGGCCACGACGGTGCGGGCGCCCGCCTTCGACGCCAAAGGCACGCCGAAAGTGACGCAGCTCCACTACGTCCAATTCGGAGCCCCGGTTGCGCCGCTGAGTTGGCAACCGCAGAAAGGCTTGGCGCCGCTCCCGCAGGCGCCGGCCTCGAAGGTGCTGCGCATCGCCACCTTTCGATCTCACCTTCCAGAGTCCCAGTGGGCCATGCGGACTCGCAACTATAAAGTTGCCGTTCAAGGATGGCTCACGCAGCTGCACATCCCTCGTTCCGACATCATCGACATATTCAGTGCACGGCGGTCTGAGGATGGCGCCATCATCAGCGTCAACATTCGGGTCTCTGCTTCGGTTGCCACTGCCATCGACCAGGCGAGCGGGGTGAACGGCTTTCTCGCCCGCCTCCTCCCAGAGACCAAGGACGCGCCACCGACGTTCGGAGCAGTGAAGTGGCTGAAGCGCCTCGAGGACGAGGACGGCCCGGCATTTCTTCGACGAGGGCGCGCTGAAGCTGAGCAGGCGGAGCCATGCATGGGACTTGCTTTTTCAAATACAGGCTCTATTGGCATCCGCGTCGCTGGCACCACATCCTTGCCCTCAGCCTGGCGCGTCTCAGGCTTCCCGAAGACCTTCACCATCCAGCAGCTCGATACCTGGTTGGGCTCCAATGGGTGGCCGCCTGTGGAGGTAGCGTCCGTACGCCGGCGTGTGGTCGGCGGCGTCGCGGTCTTCATCTTCAGAGGCATCAACCCAGGCGGCGTCAACCTTGCAACCACAGTTGAGGCCACGACTTCTGACGGCACGCTCCTCTACCTTGAGTTCGAGCCGTACCGGCCTGCTGCTAAACCAACGCCCTTTCGCAACTTGCGGGACAGCGAGCTGCGCTGGGATCCTACACCAACGACACCTGCAAAGAGCGCCAAAGTTGAAGTCTCGGACCTGTCGTCCAAGGCCGACGCCAGCGCCAAGCGGGCTAAGGGCAACGACGGCCTCCCTGCCACGCCCCAGCACGCGCAGGAGGGTGCGGAGCCGATGATCGAGACTTTCGAGAAGCTGGGCCTCACTGTGAAGCCTGTCCCGAAGGATGGGGCCTGTGCGTGGCACAGCCTGAAATGGTGGTTTGCCCGTGCACGTAAGAGCCCTAGCTGTGAGAGAGCGCTGCGCTCCCAGACCATCGACCACATGACCAAGAAGAGCATTATCTTTGAGCCATTTTGGGACCGTCTCGACCCGAAGGGCAAGGCCTGTACCGCCTGGTCCAAGTACCTTCAGCTGATGCGCGAGCCGGATGCTTGGGTTGGGGAGCTGGACCTCCTTGCTGCCGCTGACAAGTTCGCGCTGAGCATCATCATCCTGCGGCCGGGCGCCCCGACCGTCCAGATTGGCAAGGGGAAGGGCCAGGTGTGGCTGCTGTTCCGCAATGGCCACTACGAGCCCCTCGAGCCGACCGCAGACCCTGGACACGTTGCTGCGCGGAAGCAGCACGTGGACTCGATCCACGACCACCATCGCCTATCTCTTTCTTCGTCGTCTGCGGCTTCACCACGTGAGTGGGCGCTCAAAGGAGGCGGCCGCAGCACGCAGTCGGAGGCGGGCACGTTACGCAGCTGTCGTTCCTCTTCTGCCAAGACTGTGGCGGCTACCAGCCAGGCCTCTTCGGCCAGGACTCTGGGGAGGGCTGCTGGGGTGGACTCGGCAGGCGCCGGATCCGACCATCGAGGGATATATCGTCATGGGGGCGCTCTCTTGGCCAGAAAACAATCTGACGCACTCGAGCGTGAGGCAGTTTCCCGTTGTTCTTCTCCGGCCAGAACTCTCGCGGCTGCCAGTTCGGCCCCGCGGACCTTGCGCGCTCGTCCTACGGCGGCTGCCTCAAGGACGGCGTCCGGCGCACACGGAGCACAACCACGTGTCGCACAACATGCTCCAGTTCCCAAGCGGCTTGCTCCTATTCTCGCGAAGGAACTGATCAAGCAGAACGCTATTGCATCATCATCTTCATCATCTTCGTCTTCTTCGGCACGCAAACGTCCAGCAGCAGCAATTTCGAAAACTTGGGATGCTGCTACCGAGGCTCGTGCTGCGAGGTTCCGCCTGGCTGCCCGGGGATTGCCGTGGCTCTGTTCGCCAACGCTTTCATCCACAGGTGTTGCATGCCAGAGGTGCTCACGATCTGCTTCTTTACCTTCGTCACTGGCGCAGCCCGGGCGGTTCTGTGCGAACGCTCCCTGCCGTTCTGGTGCATCGCCGCCTTCTACGCCGGAGCGTATGGCCACCTTGGAGTCTTTGGCGCTGACGCGACGCAATTCTTCTGGCTCTTCTCCACAGCTACGTGGTACATCAGTCGATCGTGCACGGGACTTGCAATTGCAGCTTTATTCTGCTCATTGGAAGGGCTGGCAGTGCACGCTGTGTCCGTACAGTATCCCAGATCACGTTTCTGATTGCGAACACGCTCGTCGTCGCCATCTGCTCAGCCACGGGGCTGCCGGCCGAGCCATTCTGTCAGCTGGCAAGGGCCGTAATTGCGTGAGGGACGTTGGCAGGGACCCTGCCGCTATCACGAGGCGGTCGGCGACGCGGCGTGCCGCGCGCAAGGCTATGGCCACCTCCATCTGCTCCCAGCTTCCGCCCTGGGCCTGCCGTCTGACAGTCAAGGAGGACGACTCTGCCGGCTTCGAGTGCACCGCCTGCGGATGGCAAGCCAAGTCCTTGGAGTTCGTTCCCAAGACCGACCTCCTATGCGGCTGTGCTCCGGAGGACGCCCGGCAGGCAGCCGGCGCACTGTCCAGGGCTCAGCGGCTGGCCTTCATCAACGACATTGTTACGACCGCCAAGAAACAACGCACGGAGCAGGCGGCGCAGCGCAAGCGCGAGCGCTTCCGCCTTCTCGCCAGGCTGCGCCGCGGGACGCTTGTCTGCT